AATGGTTGCCTCTGATGGCGCAATCTTAGGTACAAGTGCCTAGTTACAAAAGTTACAAAAAGGAATAAAAGGAAAAGTAGTAGCATTACTTACAGTGCGTAAAAATGAAATAGAAATAAGATAGTTATAACATAGGATTGACATTATAGTCCGGTAAAGAGTTTCAAATAGCAGCAGCTCAGCACGTATCTGACCGCCCCGCCAGGCCCAAGTCCAACAACTTTCCCGCTCCTCTCCAGCCTCCAGAACGCTCCTCACTGGCACTCAGCTACAACAAGGTATATTTCGCTCAATGGGGCTCGCTTCCCCTCCCGCTGCTCAGTGACTGCTTCTCCACACGTTGTTCCGGGACTCGTTTCCCCTCGAACTGCTCAGGAACTGCTAAAATAGAGAAAATAGAAAGGAAAATGAGCAGACGGAGCAGAGGAACTCCGGGTAGACCGTCCTACTCTGTGGCTACCTTGTCACCATCAAAATATATAACATCCTTAGGGGACTTTACGAGGTTGATGCTGAGAGTATGACTCCTTGTGTGATAAATTAGAACCAGAAGATATAGTTTTTTTTTAAAAAAGAAAAATATTTTCATTTAAGCCGGAGACGAGGAGATTGTTGTTTCTCTGTGAAAGGGTGGTGAGGTTTTGTAGAATTCTTTAGCACGCTTAGTTGGAGACAGAGTCATGATTGTTTGTGTTTCTTTATTTTAAAAATGAGTAGCTGGATTTTTCAGTAACAAGGGGGTCAAAATTTATGGCAGCTAGGTGGAATGTGCGGTTGAAGCGATAATCAGATGCGCCATGGATATCAGTGAATGGACAAGCAAGCTTGAGGGGATGAATACACTACACCTGCTCCTAATTCGAATGTTTGCGTCCACAGCTTAAGCTACTTGCTTTAGACAACTGACTTCAGTTTTGAAGCTATTGCCATTGCCCTGAATACTCTGGGAAATGCGGTCCTGAGGCCAGAACATAAAATAAACGCTCGCGCCAAGCTTTTTTACCCTGTTCCTCTGAAAGTTTGTTTTTTTGTCTGCCCATCAATAGTCCTAAACGGTTTTCCAGAGGCTATAAGTTTTGAGTCAGAATCGAACATCTTTTCAAAAGCATCGTCAGATATCTTTCAGCTTCTCACACGGGCAAAGTACTACACACGCTGAAAATCTAAATAAAATGGAAATGCGCATTAGTTCCTGCGGTATTTTCGGAAAGAGAAACCGATTTAACGTGTGTCACTTCTCAGAACGTTCTCAATACTGTGATAAATTATTGAGTTACCTTCCAGAGGACAATCGAAATGAACTGAAAGGGTTATTACAATCACATGGAGAGATATGGAGAAATAACTTGGAAAGTACTAACATGATTATGGATGATGCATATACATGAAATGATGTTACAATTAAGGAACATCCTTATAGACTTAACCCTCTAAAATTGGCATAGGTTCAAAAAGAGATTGACAGCATGCTCAAAACGATGTAATCGAAGTGAGATGCAGCGAATGGAGGTCACCCATAGTGTTGGTGCCAAAACCACATGGTACCCAACGTTTATGTATTGATTTCCACAAAATCAATGCACTTACAAAATCTGATTCGTATCCTATTCCAAATGTGGAAGACTGTATTGAGCAGATGGGACAAGCAACTTATACTTTAAAGCTCGAATTACTCAGAGGTTCGTTTAGCTGAGACTGTGAAGGAAATTTCAGCTTTCACGACACCAGTTTAAAGTTGTGCAACTTGGTATGAAAACTGTGCCAGCTACATTTCAAAGACGAACTAATAAATTCACTTCGAGATTACTCAGTTGTGTAGTCCACATGGATGGTCTAGTAATTTTTAGTCACATATGGAATGTATATTTGCAGCATCTATTGGAATTATTTACTTGACTTCAGAAGGCGGGCTTGGTGATAAACCTGTCTGACAGTGAGTTCACAAAAGCCTAAGTCACATTTATTGGCCATACTATTGGATGTAGACAGATAGCCCCACTGGATGTAAAAACAAAAGTTATTGGATAGCTTCCCAAAGCATTGACAAAGAGGGAATTAATACAATTCCTTAGGCTGAGTGGTTTCTTTCAATAATTTGTACCAAATTTTAGTTGCGTGGTGTGCAGAAATGTTTAGTGAATAGAGGAATGTCAGAAGGCATTTGACAGCATGAAAGCTGTGTTAACATTGTTCCAGTGTTAACCACACCTAATTATGCAAAGCCATTCAAACTGGCTGTCAATGTGAGTGATATGGCTATCGTTGCTGTGCTCTTGCAAGAAGACGATGAGAAAGAAGGCTCACTGAACCCAAAATGTTAACTCTGATTTCTTTCCACAGGTGCTGCCAGATCTGCAGAGCTTTTCCAGCAACTTCTATAGTTGAATCAATTTTACTAAATTTGTTGTTTAGTAGTTAAATCAACGATTATTCTGTTAAGTGTTCCAACGGAGTTAAAGTTATACCAAATCTTCTTTATTTTGTTTGTATTTAACTGTAGGGTAAGAATAAAGTGGTTTTTTTTTGCTTAAAGTGGAAGTAGTGTAAATAATCAAATTACATTTGGAACACAGAACATTACACTTGCCTTTAAATAAGATAAAAGTTAGTGTCTAGGCTATCTCCTTGATATATTTGAGGGGTTTTGGTCTGGTTCTTAACACATCGAGCACATAATCCCTCTCCTGCCCTTTCAGAAGTAAAAGGGAAGAAATCCTTATACGACATTTCTGCTGTATTCCTCTGTTATCGAGTCATAGAACCATAGCGCTGTACAGCATGGAAACAGTCTCTTCAGTCCAACTCGTCCATGGTGACCAGATATTGTAACTTCATCTCGTTCAGTTTGCCAGCATTTGACCCATATCTCTCCGAACTTCTCTTATTCATTTAATTATCCAGATGCCTTTTAAATGTTGTAATTGTAATAGCTTCCACCACTTCCTCTGGCAGTTCTTTCCATACATGCACCACCGTCAGTTTGAAAAAAAAAATGCCCCTTAGATCCTTTTCAAATCTTCCCTTTCTCACCTATTTCTTCTAGTTTTTGACTCCCCCACGCTGGGAAAAAAGACCTTGGCTACTCACCTATCAATGTCATGACCTTTATAAAGTCACTGCTCAGCCTTCAACACTCGAAGTAAAATAGCCCCAGCCTATTCAGCCTCTTCCTTTGGCTCAAACCCTCCAACCATGGCAACATCCTTGTAAATCTTTTCTGAATCCTTTCAAGTTTCACAACTTCCTTCTTATAGCAAAGAGACCAGAATTGCACGAAGTATTCCAAAAGTGGCCTCACCAATGTCCTGTGCAGCCGCAACATGACCTTCAAAATTTGTAGATCATAGAATAGAATCCCTACAGTGTTGAAACAGGCCCTTGGCCCAACAAGTCCACACCGATCATCAGAGCATCCCCCTAGACCCATCCCACATAACCCACTTAATCTACGCATCCCTGAACACTACAGGCAATTTAGAATCGCCAATCCACCTAGCCTGCACATCTTTGGACTGTGGGAGGAAACCAGAGCATCCAGAGGAAACCCACGCAGACACGGGGAGAATGTGCAAACTCCGCACAGACAGTCATCCGATGGTGGAATTGGACCTGAGTCCCTCGCACTGTGAGGCAGCAGTGCTAACCACTGAGCCTCTGTGCCGCCCGAATCTGATCCGGATCAACTGCTTGGGAAGCAGCTATGCTCACCACCGTACCACCATCGCCCTGCTGTTGTCCTCAATATACTGGCCAATAAATGCATGCACATCAAACACCTTCTTCACTATCCTACCTACCTGCGACTCCACTCCTATCTGCAGTCTAAGTTCTCTTCGTTCAGCAACACCGCTATGACCTTAAAATTAAGTGTATCAGGCCTGCCCTGATTTACCTTTCCAAAGTGCAGTACCTCAAATTTATCTAACTTAAATTCCACCTGCTTCTACTCAGAGTAGCCTCTGTTTTCTACCTTCGGGCCAGTTCTGTATCCAAATGTCTAGTTGTCTCTGTTTTCCATGAAGGACAGGAAAAATTTGTGGCTTTAAGAGCTGTTCCTTTCTTGAGGTATTTTCAATGTTGGAGTTGATTTCCTCGAATTCTAGGAGCAGTAATTAATCTTTCATAAGCCGTTGCATTGTTTTGGAACTTGGGGAAAAAAAGGCATTATCGCAGTAGTCCATCCTTTCCACAGAGTTTTCTTTTGCACAAGCACAGGAAACATAACACCTGTCATTTTACCTCTTCTCTCACCACCATCTAAGACCATAAGCCATTTTCCAAGTTAACAAAAAGATATTTAGTTGAATGTGTTTCAAGTTAGTTTAGGACATTCACTGTCTCAATATGGGCACTTCTGCATTGGGAACATAAAATGCAGAGATTGAATGAACTCCCTGCTGAACATTTTATTCAGCAGATAAACACGTCCAACAAATTGCAATGGCATGTAATTTTTAGTCTCCAATTTGCTCTCACACTGGCAATTCTGTCCTCAGTCTCGGCATTGTTCCAATATTTATGTAAACGTGAAAAACAGTACCTCGTACTTTGATTAGGCATATTTCAGATTTCAGGAGTCAATATTGAGTCAAACAATTACAAGTTAAATCTGAGCATCAATTTTTATTTCCTTTTAATGATTTGCTTTGGTTTGTGTATTTTTCTTTTGCGTTCAATTAACAGCATACCTGCCCTCGGCATATGTTTCTTCTCTTGTCTGTTGGACCTGTAAGACTAACTTTTTTTTTTCCCCTTCAAGCTCTCCTGTCATTTAGCCCCTTCACAGACCAACATCTATCCACCCAATTCTTGCTCAAAACCGACTATATGTCTATTTTTTCTCAATTCTCATGAATGATTGCAGACTTTAAAAATTAACTTTTTATTTACAAATGTTGATTAACTTATTGAGCTTTTCCAGAATGTCATGTTCTTTTTATTAATTAGGTTTATCTGATCTTGGAAAGATAAAGAACATAGCATGCTTCGATTTCAGGTGATTTATTTGACAGATTTTCAGTGCATTGAACATCAGACCAGTTATAGTGAATTCCAGCAGTAGAAACAAATAACATAGTTAAGAGCACAATTAAAATACAGTGTCATATGTGAAGTCGCTGATGTCTCAGTAGATGCTGTGACTGAGCAAATCCCTTTCCACACATGGAACAAGTGAATGGTTTCTCCCCAGTGTGAACTCGCTGGTGGATCAGTAGGTTGGATGAACGAGTGAATCCCTTCTCACACACAGAGCAGATAAATGGCCTCTCTCCAGTGTGAACTAGCTGGTGCTTCAGTAGAGTCGATGAGTGACTGAATGCCTTCCCACAAACAGAGCAGCTGAATGGTCTCTCTCCTGTGTGAACTCGCTGATGTCTCATTAGGGAGCATGACTGAGTAAATCCCTTTCCACATACTGAGCAAATGAATGGTCTCTCCCCAGAATGAGTGCGTTGGTGTGTCAGCACTTCACTTGTGCTTTTAAAGCTCTTCTCACATTCACAACATTTAAAAGGTCGTTTATCAGTGTGAACTCTCTGGTGCGCCAGCAGGGTGGATAACTGAGTGAATCCCTTCTCACACATGGAGCAGGTGAACGGCCTCTCCCCACTGTGAACTCGCACATGTACATGAAGCTTGGATAACTCTGTGAATCCCTTCCCACACAGGGAGCAAGTGAATGGCCTCTCCCCAGTGTGACTGCGCCGATGAGTTTCTAACTTGGAGGGATAATTGAATCCCTTTCCACAGTCTCCGCATTTCCATGGTTTCTCCATTATGTATGTGCCCTTATGTTTCTCCAGGTTGAGTAATCAGTCAAAACCTATCCACACAGAACATACATGCAGTTTGTCCCCACTATGAATAGTGCAATATCAAGGTGATTAAGTCTCTTTTCACAGTCAGTTTGCTTGAATACCCTGACTCTGGCATTTATGTCTCAGTACTTTTCAAGTCACATAGATATTTAAAATATTTTCCCAAAAACTCACAGGCAAATATTCACTTCACAATCTCAATTGCCAATGATATTCAGGCCCTAATAGATCGAATGGCTCTTCCAGATCCTGGTGTGATGCATCCATTAAGTATGCCTTCAGCAGACTGCAACATTTTAATATCCTGTAAAATTAGTTTACAAACTATCACGGTAAGTATAAGATAGACAACAGATCAGACAATTCCACATTTTGCAAAACATTGTTTCTTCTCCTAAGCCCAAAACTGTAAATTCCGTTTCCACTTAAACTTTCCTCCGAACTGAGTTGAAATTCAAACCCACCATGTCATTGTAAATACTTTTTTCCCCTCTCCTTAGGGTGCTAATTTGAGTTAGCATAAGTTCTTCAGTTCCCATATTCATACATACTCACCTGCATGAACACCCACAGTGAGTGTTGGAAAGCTGTTCTTAGCTGGTAGCTGTGAAAAGACAACTTTACAATAGGAACACAAGAAAATCCAATCACTAAACAAAACAAATCTAAACCAACTGAAGAAAATAAAGAATGGATCAGGGTTTTTTTTTTAAACTCACTCATCTATCTGACTGAATCAGTTTCTGCATCTCAAGTACATGCTTCGCCCTGGCTCTTATGCCTTCGGACTGTCTTGCTGAAGGTGTACAAGAAAATTAACCAACAATCACCAATGTTCTATCAACAGATGAGATTCAATGCAAGAAAAACAAGACCCCAGGAATTGAGTTGGAAATGCAACGGGGTAAGCACGATTGAAGATAATGATTTAAAGTCGATGATTTCATGAGCTGACTGAGTGGCAGAACAGAGTCGCTGGGCTGAATGACCTGTTTCATCTTTTAGGTCCTGTGGCAAGTGAAACTCACCATTAATATTTCGTTGATTTTTAAAACGTTTTTTAATACTAATTTGGAGTAGGACTGAAAAAGTTACTACTTCAACTCACTCGAATTTTCTAATCTAGGAAAAGCATTAATTTTAATTGAGCCCTAGAAAGTGCAAATGGCGCTGTGTACTACCCAGAAGGCCATGCGTGAATAAATACGATCTTGCCGATCAGAAACGCAGTAACGCGCAGGCGCAAATGTGACCCCGCCCCTGAAGCGGAGATGCAGGCGAGGAGCATGCGCGGAGTGGCGCCAGGAAGCTGAGCGGACGCGAGCGCGGTTTGGGTGAGACTGAGTTCGGCTCTGCGGTCTCGGACCGGAGCCGCCGGGCCCTGAGCGTGCAGCGTACGGACGAAGAAGGGTCCACCACGGGTGAGGAGCGCGGTGAAGCAGCCGGTGCCACGCCTCGCCTTGCCCCCTCCCTACCCACCGTGGGTGGCTGTCTGCTCCGGTTTCCACCGAGTCCCAATCGCGCGACAAAGAGGACGCCCAGAGTGCCCCGCGTCCGGCCCATGTCGAACATGCGCAGTCAGCGGGCAGGGGAACGAACGCCTTTTGGATAGAGCGATTTCAGTGGCGCGGAGCATGGTGGGAATTATGGAACTCCTGCTGCTGCCTCAGCCGCACCTTCTAGGCGGTAAGTGTTCTGGTGCAGGCCTCACGACCGTAAGACCTAGGAGCAGGTTTGGGCCATGAGGGACAGGTGTAGATCGTTCAGCTCCTTAAGCTTAGTTCCTCCATTTAGTGAGATCGTGGGTGATCTGTGGCCTCACTCCGTTTAGCCCAGGGTCCTTGATAACTTTGCTTCACAAAAAGAAAATCTCTCGGATTTAAACCTAACAAGTGAACCAGCACCCATTGCCATTTTTGGAATGGAGTTTCAAAACTCTGTCATCTTTTGTCTATGAAGTGCTTCCTAACGTTTCTCCTGAATGTTCTGGCCCTAATTTTTAGACTGCGCTCCTTATTCTAAAATCCCTAACCTTGGAAATAATGTAGCCACTGTTTTTCTTTTCCTGTTATATTTTGAAGACTGCAATTATCCTTTAAAATTCTAGGGAAAGCAGGCCTAATTTGTATAATTGCTCTTCATAACTTAACCCGTGCAGTCCAGGTATCATTCTTGTAAACCTACATTGTACTCCTTTCAAAGCCAATTTGCCTCCCTAAGGTCTGGTGCCCAGACCTGCTCTTACTACTCTAAATGGGGTTTTGTACAGCTGCAGCATAACTTCCATGTTGTTATACTCCATTTCTCTTGATATAAAGGCCAGCATTCCATTAGGCTCTTGACTATTTTTGCAGCTGTCTCTGGCACTTAAAATCTATGCATTTCAGCCCACTGAGTGCATTTTACCATTCAGTGAGATCATGACTGAGCTAATAATCCTTAACACCACTTTCCACCCTTATCTGCATAACTCTCTATAAGAGTCATACAGCACAGAAACAGAGTCTTCGGTCCAACTAGTCCATGCTGACCATAATCCCAAACTAAACTAGTCCTCCGTCCCTACACTTAGCCCAAGTCCCTCCAAACATTTCTTATTTATGTACTTATTAAATGTCTTTTAAACATTGTAACTATGCAGCATCCACAGTTCCTCTGGATGCTCATTTCACACTTGAACCTCTGTGTAAAGAAAAAAGGCCCCGCATGTCTGTTTTTTAATTTTTCTTCTCGCACCTTAAAAATATACCTCCTAGCCTTGAAGTCACCCAAGCTAGGGAAAAGACACCTACAATTCAATTTATCTGTACCCTTCATGATTTTATAAAACTCTATAAGATCACGCCTCAACCTCCTACGCTCCAGTGAAAAAAATCAGTCTATCCAGCTTCTCGTTATAACTCAAACCGTCCATTCCTAACAACTTCATGCTAAAACTCTTCTGAATCCTCTCCAGCTTAAGTCCTTCTTACAACAGGGTAACCAGAACTAGACATGATACTGCAGAAAAGACCTCACCAACATCCTGTACAGCCTCAAAACGACATCCCAAATCAAAGGTTTCAGCAAAGAAGGCAAGCATGCTAAATGCCTTTTTAAGGACCCAATCCATATGTGACACAAACTCTGAAGGATTACATGTGTGAACCCCTAGGTCTCTCTGTTCTACAACACTACCCAAGGCCCTCCCATTAATTGTATAAGTCCAGCCCTTGTTTGTTTTACCAAAATGCAATACCTCACAATTATGCAAATTAAACTCCATTTGCCACTCTTCAGTGCATTTATCCAATTGATCAAGATCTCTTTGTAATTTTAAATAACATTCTTCAATGTCCATTATTATACTAATTTTGGTGTCATTCACAACCTTACTAACCATGCCTTCTATATTCTCGTCTAAATGATTTATAAAAATGACAAACAAAAGTGGATCCAGCACTGAAGAACACCACTGGTCACAGGGCTCCAGTCCAAAAAGAACCCTTCTCCATCACTCTGTGTCTCCTGCTATTAGGCCAATTTTGTTTCCAATTGGCAAGCTCATTTTGAATCCCATATGATCTAATTTTACTAATTAGTCTACAATGTGGAACTTTGTCAAAGGCTTCACTAAAGTCCATACAAACAATGCCCTCATCAGTCATCTTGGTTACTTCCTCAAAAACCTCAATCAAGTTTGTGAGACACCATTTCCCTCGCACAAAACCACGTTCACTCTCCCTAATGATTCCTTGCCTCTCTAAGTGCATGTAAATCCTATCTTTCAGAATCGCCTTCAACAATTTACCCACCACTGAAGTCAGACTCCCAGGTTCATAGTTCCCGGGTTTCTCCTTGCATTGCTTCTTAAACAAAGGCACAAAGTCAGCCACTCCCCAGTAGTTATATATGATATGAATATTTCTGCAAGGAGCCCTGCAATTTTTTCCTGAACGTCTAGATTACACTAGACTAGATTCCAGAGATTTATTCATGTTTATATTTTCTAAAAACTCCAGCAACTCCTCTTCTGTGATGTGAACTGTTTTCAAAACATCAAAATTTATTTAAAAACCAAAAGAACTGCGGATGCTGTAAATCAGGAACAAAAACAAAGTTGCTGGAAAAGCTCAGCAGGTCTGGCAGTATCTGTGAAGGAGAAAACAGAGTTAATGTTTCAAGTCCGGTGACCCTTCCTCAGAACTGATAGTGACTGGGAAAACGTCAGTTTATATGCAGAAAATAGGGAGGTGGGTGGGGTAGGGAGTAAACGATAGGATAGAGCCCAAAGAGAGAGAAAGACAGTTGGACAGACAAAGGAGTTGCTCACGATCAGGCTGGGAGGGTGAATAGTTGTTAATGGGGACTGTTAGTAACTAACAACAGTGGGTGTGTAATGGCAGACTATGTGGTGACAAGACCTGGTATGTGGGGTGGTGGGCTGGGACATGGGAGAATTTAGGTCCTAAAATTATTGAACTCAGTATTGAATCTGGAGGGCTGTAGGGTACCCAAGTGGAAAATGAGGTGTTGTTCCTCCAGTTTGCGTTGGGCTTCACTGGAACACTGCAGCAAACCAGAGACAGAGATGTTGGTCAGGGAGCAGGGTGGTGCGTAGACTTGGCGACTGCTTCGCAGAACATCTACGTTCTGCCCGCAAAAAAGACCCTGAACTACCTGTTGCCTGCCACTTCAATGTACCACCCTGGACCTAAACTCTCCCATGTCCCCTAAATATGTTATTCCTAACAATGTGTACAATAATTTCCAGTTTCTCACTCTCCCCTTTAACAATATGCTTCAAACATTTTGAGACATCCTTAATTCTGGTACTAGGAAAGCAAGATACTATCCTACATTCATGCTCACTTCCTCAGATTCTCCTGTCTGTGTTATTGACAGGAGAGTGTCCTATAATTATTAATTATAGTGTCCTATAATTATTCTTTTAAATTTTGCCAAACACCACCAAACATAAGATTCAGTCTTAGTGCCCAAGATATGACTGTCTCTTCTATTTTCCTTTGACAGACTATCCTTTTCCATTATACCCAAAACTGAGTATCTGTTTGACAGAGGAATAGACACAGGAGACTTCTGAATTACCTTCTTACCTTTTCCTGACAGTTGCCTGTCTATTTGACTGATCCTGCTATGTAATCATTTCTCTTAATCTACTAGCCATCTAACTCTGTCTCTTGTATGCCCTCAACGTCCTTATGCTTAAAAGTAAGCAGCTTACAATAGCACTTTATATGTAAAATAAACTACCTTTCCTTACCCAAAGAATGAATATTAAGCATGCCAAAAGTAAGAAATTTAAAAATAAACAAATATACTAATCTTAAATAAAATCAATCAGTTAACTGAATAATGGAATTTGAAAAAACAACTCTTCTTCAACTGATCCAGCAGACAGCTTTCAATCTTCTGATCAAAAAAGAACTCGCTCCAGAGTGCTGTCCACAGGTAGGCCTCTACAAAAACTCCATAAATATAACTCTGTTTAAAAAGAATCCTAATTCTACACATATAATTTTAGAGAATAAAAATAGAGTTGACCACATGTTGGCCTCTTCAAAAGATCTGTTAACAGAACTCTGCTTGTAAGACAAGCTTGTGCTTTTTTTTTCTTTTTTTGTTGCATTTTGGACTATAAAAGAACCAAAAATGAATCATCATAAAAATCTCATACTACTGAAATGTGATAACTGTAAGACATCTACCAGTAAGATATGTGTAGGCCTTTCCGAAATTGCCGTTAACACAACCCCATTAGAAAAAAAAACATGTTTTTTTTGCATTTTTGACAACTAAAGAATCACAAATGAATCAAAATTAAAAATTTTATATTTCTGAAATGTTATAACTGTCAGAAATCTAGAAGTAAATCCAGAAATAAGACTGCAATCTCAGGAACAGTTGCAAGATCCATGCTACTCTCGGTCCACCATTTTAGACTCCTGAACATTGTAACTTTTTATTCCATTGATAATTATGAATCTGACTATCTTAACCTTAATTGGGCCTCAAAAAAACTTCTGGTAGTAAAGAATTCCACAAGTTCACCGTCTTGTGGTAGTGAGGGATGAGGATCCTCCTCGTCTCCATCTTAAATGGGCAATCTGTTATTTTGAGATGATGTCTCAACACTCTCTCAAGGGAATCAACTTCTCTGTATCTACCCTCTGGTCAGTTAGCTAAGTTGATTGGATGACTGATTTGTGATGCAATTCAATTCCCATTGGGCTGAGGTTACCATGAAAGTAAACTAATGTCACCGTTGTCTTCGTAGATTACAGATCTACTTCTGCTCAGCCGCTGCAGGAATTTATTGCATACTTTTGACATCACTATGAATTGCAGACCAGCCATTCAGACAACTTAACAACCAATCTCTACCGTGAAGGACTCCCCTTCTTGATCTCAACTGAGGAGTGTTGACCATTAGGTTTAAACCATCAGAAGTTTCTCTTTAAGGAGAGTGTAGCACAATGGTCCCTTAGGACAATGGAGATCTAACCTGTAAAGCCGCCTAAGAGTGTTTCAGTAAAGTCTTCCTTCATTGTTCTAAATGCCAATGAGTTT